GCACCGCCGAGCGGTGGTTTTGAAATGGAGGGGGGGTCCTCCACGGGGGCCGGGGCCACGCCCACCTCGCTCGCTGCATTGTCCCCTTCCCGTCGCCCCCCCCTAGTTACCTGTGCTTTGAAAGCTCCAAATCCGGGTCTTCCAAGAGGAACAAGGTCATCAAGCTGCTGGACATCACCGACATCCAGAAGGTGGGCGCCGCTGACCCCTGCTGGGTTGCAGGAGGGGAGCGTGAGGGTTTCCCAGGGTGCAGTGCGGCCTGGAGCTGGGGGGCCATCTGGAGGCTGCTGCTGCCCGGAGCAGGGCTCATCTGTGGAGGGCTCACATGGAGCCCCCTTCGGGGCACCACGTCCGTGTGGGGTGACACTGTGGCTCCCGTGGTACAGATGAGGAGACGGGGCAGTGAGGTCTGTGTCTCCATTACGGGTGGGCTCCGCTGTGCCCACCACCCTGCTAGCCCAGGGCCCAGGCTGCTGCCACGGTGTGGCTTAGAGCGGGGCACGGAAGCGCCAGTGCTCCGGGAGCTGCTTAGCCGATCTCCGGTGTGGCTCGGCACAAGGAACATGCCTGTGGGTGCACCCCCACCGCCCGCCCCTGGACTGTGGGGGACCACCCCTCCCTCCCCCTGTGGAGAAATGGTGCGCACTCGTGGTCGGGACGCTGGCAGCACTGAGGGTGCCCCATGGGCGCCAGGCTCTGGAGTGGGCGTCCCCACATGCGGTGTCCTTGGGGGTCGGCCCTCCCTGGGCTCAGGCTGGCAGCTGGCGCAGGGCGGGACAGGCCCCGGGCGGCTCTGCGCTCTCAGCCCGAAGGGCGAGGTTACTCGGGTTCTTCTGCACGCCAGGCCCTCTGGGTCGTGCCGGGAAGACCCATGCTGACGGCTGTGACGTTTCTTCCAGTACAAAGTCCTGTCTGTCCTCCCGGGCTCGGGCATGGGGATTGCCGTGTCGACGCCATCGACCCAGAAGGTAGGTGCCTGGCAGGTGGCTGAGGGGCTGGGGTGGCTTGGGGCTTGGCTGGGACGAGCTCGGGGCTAGAGGCCGGGCAGCTTGGGCACAGCCCCCTCCGGCCCTTGTGGCAACACCCACCTCGTGTCGAGATCGCAGCCTTTGGTGGTGGTGGTGGGGCTTGCAGTCATGGGACCCTCAGGGAGGCAAGGCCCAGGGTGACGGGGGGGTGGGGGGGCTCAGGAGGGCACTTCCGGGTGGGAACTGCGTCTGGCCCCGAGAGCCCGCGTGGCTGCGGCTGGCCCGGGGCTCGGTTGTGGCGCTCACCGCCGGCGCTCCCTCCCTGGCAGCCGCTCGTGTTCGGCGCCATGGTGCACAGGGACGAAGCGTTCGAGACCATCTTCAGCCAGTACATGAAGATCACCGCAGCGGCGGCCGCCGGTGGCGACAGCTAGCACTGACTCCCCGGGGCGTGGCGGGGGCTTTGAAACACTCCGGTCGTGGAAGAACCGTGGATATCCTCCTGACCTTCGGCAATAACTCCCCTGCCCTGCGGTTTTGGTTGCGTCGATCCCTGCGTTCTGCGGACCTGGCACGAGGGGCCTGGGGCTCCCGACGGCGGTGCCCGGGCATGGCACCGCAGGCGCCCGAGTGACACCAGGGCAGAGGAGCCCCAGGGCCGTCCACGGGACTTGTGGCCACGCACTGCCTTGGCCTTGTCAAGCACACGACCGTGTCCTCCGGCCCAGCCTGGGGGCAGGGGAGGGTCACCCTGCAGGCCCTCCAGAGGCCAGAAGTTCTTCCGCCACCAAAGCCATAGCCGAGGCGCGTGGCGGGCCCCTCCTCCTGGGGTTAAGAAGCAGCGAGCAGCCCCACGGAGGCCCTGACTGCCCGCCAAGAGACGAGCCAGCCCACCTCCGTCAGCCCAACCCTCCTCTGGCTGTCCTCGTGGTGTGGGGGTGGGGCGGGGCACCTTTGCGGGAGCAGAGAGGCTGCTGGGAGCACTGGGCATGCTGGGTGGCCCGCCCTCCCCCAGTCCGGCCTCTCCAGATGGGACCCTGGAGTCGGTGGCCGAAGGGTGGAAGCACAGCTTCGTCCCCTGTGCTCTCTGGACAAGCCAGGGGGACACTGAGGGGCTCTTGGGGTGCTCTGAGCTTTGGTTGTGCTCAAGTGACCCCGCCCCCGGCAGCAGCCCTGGGGGTGGCTGGGGTGGGGGCTGGAGCATCCTCCCCACGGGCTTTGGGGAGTGGCCGAGTGCTGGGGGATGCCCACTAGCGGGAGCACGTGTGACGGGTTTATCCTGGGGCGTCTGCAGGTGGCTCTGCCGTGAGCAGGAAGCCGGGTGGAGACTGGCGCGGGCACCTCCCGCTCTGCCCGTCTCCGCGGTGGGGCCCTCCCACACCTTCCGCTTGTCCCCAGTCCTTTGGGTGTCACTAGATTGTTGTTTTTTGAAGAAACAGAAGATTATATTTTTTACAGAGAGCGAGCTGTTTTTCTTATTTTTGTATCATTTTTCAGATGTGATTTGTACCTTTGCTCCAATCCTCATCCAGGGTGGGGGAGACTTGTGGCGCGGGCCCAGGTCAGCCTTTCACAGGGGCCGGGGGTCACCCACCAGGGCTAGGGATGGGGGGGCGCACACGTCCTGGCCGTGCAGCTGCCAGTCTTCCAGATTCTGCACATCAGCCTCGTAAATGGAGGTGGGACCCTGGCTAAGCGGCGAGTCAGCTCTCGGTGCACCTGGGGGAGACGCAGCCCACCGGGAAGCCCCTGGGTGGGCCTGACCTGTCCCCAGGGATGGCCGCCAGGGTGACGCTCCTCCCCAGGCCCGGGGGCTCCGGGTCTGTGCCTTTGGTAAGGCACTAAACTGTCCCAAGCACAGGGGTGGGGGTTCAGCAGGGCAGGTGGTTACGTTGGAGTCCCTTTAAGGAGAAAGGGAGATGAAAACTGACCACACACTGGGGGGCGGGGCGGCAGGGCCCGCCCAGGTTGGCCAGCAGCAGGCCCGTTTCGGGGCCCCAGGGGGCCAGGAGCAGAGCAGGGCCCCGTTGGCGGGAACCGGGCAGACTCCATTCTGCGACTAATCGTGAACTAGGGTGGATGTCTGGCCAAGGCTGGCGCGCTGGTCTGTCTTGGATCTGTACATAGTTGTTACCAGTGTGATTCCTGTTCAACAGAATTCTGAAGAACCGATAAAAAAAACAAAGAAAACCTCTGTAACATTTTTAAGGATACCTTGTTAAAAGAAAAAGTCTTGTATAAATTATAATTTTTATTTAAATAAACCTAAAATGCTTTGTGCTAAGGCTCAGGGCCCTCCAGTTGCTTGGCATGGTCATGTGAGGCTTGTGGGCAGCTGGGGTGCCTGTGGTGACCAGCGCTGGACAGTGCCAGGGGTCCAGACACCATGGCTGCCAGGCAAGTGGGTGCCCGGGCAGTGGGCACTGGGTGGGGCCGAGGGGGACACTGTTGGGCACAGGCTTTGCCAGTCTGGGGGCAGGAGGCAGGCTCTGGGTCCCACAGGACGGAGGGCAGGGCAGGGAGGCGTGCCCAGGGTTGGCACTGGGCTGGGGGCGGTGGGTTCTCTGGAGACGGGGCAGCGCCTTGGGTCTGTGGTGCAGGCCTGGGCTCTGCCCAGCTGAGGCTGCCCAGGGACACTTGTGGCTCAGCCAGGGAAGATGTCAGCACTGGATCTGCCTGCCTTCCAAAGTCGCTGGGGTCAGGTGCACCTGAGGCGGCGTGGCCTCCTGAGCCCCAGCCCCCGGGAGCCCCCAGGAGGCCTGGACCGGGCCAGGCGGCAAGCCTTGCAAGGTCAGTCATTTGCAGTCTCTTCCTGTTCACCCACCCACCACCCGTCTGCGCGGCCGTCCGTCCGTCCACTGCAGGTTGCGCTGGATGCCGGGCCGTGTCCCTGAAGGGACAAGGGTGCCACACACTCGTGCTGTCCCGCCCTCCTCTGTCTCCTCATCCCCCTGGGCCCCAGCTCTGCCCCTGCTCAGCCACAGGGCCGCCCCTGCGCCATCCTCGCTGCCTTCCTCACCTGGCTCAGGGAGGCGGAGAGGCTGCAGGGGTGCGAGCACACAGCAGGTGCCGCGGGGTCCGGGGGCTGGGGGCGGCAGAGGCTCCCAGGCCCCACGCGGGACACTTTGGTGGGCATTCCCGCCTCCGCCCAGCCCTCAGCCTGCTTTAAGCGCCTTGCAATTTGCTTGCTTTGGGCTTACTGTCAGGAAGGCAGCCTGTGCCCGCCTGTGTCACAGAGCACCTCTCCCCTGCAGCCCGGGACGCATCTCCCAGGGCTTCTCTTGGCTTTGCCTGGTGGCGAGGGCAGCGCTACCAGCTCCAGCAGAGGCCCTGGGGCCTTTCCAGCTACAGATCGCAAGAGAGGTCAGTCACCATGGCGTGGGGGTCAGACCCGAGCACACAGGAAAATCAAGCTCTGTGCTCCTGGACCTGGAGCCCTCGTCACAGAGTCTCCTTGCAGCTTGGATGTAGGCTTTGGTGGCTGCAATGAACGAGTGGGTGGAGGAAGGTATAAAGCCCGGCAGGTGTGGGGGCTGGGCCTGGCAGGCTGAAGCCTGATTGACGCGCAGCCCAGCGCCCAGGTGCTACTTCCGGGGTGGGGGGCGCCCCATGGAGGGGACAGGGACTGAGTTGCCGGCTGCAGGCACCTGGGGAGCGAGCCAGCAGGTGGGAGGCCCAACTCTCAGGTGAACAGAAGGTAAGGGCGTGGGCACGGGCGTTGTGGGGCGGCCTGCGTGGTCCTCGTGCCTTCGTGACTGTGCCCTGACAGCGCTAAGTCCACACCGGGCCTCCTGCAGCACAAGCCAGGCTGCGTCCTCTGACGGCCCTGGCCCTGGCGTTCACTGTTCCACCTGGGAGCCGACCTCTGTCTCAGCCGACTGGACACTCGAGCAAACATCCGGTCCCTCGAGGGTCAGCGGCCATCAGGTGACGGGGCCCCGGGCCCAGCGCAAGCTTTGGGGCCCGGCTGAGCCTGTGCCTTAGCTGAGCCTGTGCCTTTTCGTGGACTGTGTAGAAGAAGAAAATGCCAAATTCTGCCCAAAGTAGTTTTATTTTGTCTTTTCAAACATTTCAGATCAAATATGCCACCTTCTAATCTTGAAACCAGCAAGATTAGAAAGAGAACGAATCCAGCCTTTCGGTGTCTCCCAGTCACACAGGGGGCCCACCCCGAACTGGGACCCATGCTGCCCGCCTGCAGTGTGCCGCGAGCCGCCAGGCAAGTCCCAGCACCGGCTGGGACCATGCTCACCACCCAACCAGCACCTCTGACCTCTGTCCCCAGCACCCTGAGGTTCAGGAGCTGAGGTTCCGTGGGAATGCGTGCGTGCTGCCCCCTGCCCGGGACCTACATCCCCGGGGCCCCAGAGACAGCACCAGCGTGCAACTCTGACAGGCGCAGGGGGCCTGCTTTGCCTGGTCCCTGCCTCTAGAGTCGGCGGCGGTCTCGGGACAGACCAGAGCGTGGGCCTCGTTCCCCAGGGCCAGGGCAGATTCAGGGGTCTCTGGGGAAAGCGTACAAATGAAGCTGCCCGGTTTCCACCCCACGGGAGCAGCCTGGGAGGGGTGCAGCCTAGGGCGGTGCTGCGGGCCCGTGGGCTACACTGCCTTTCAGGTGCTGGGTCTGTGGTCTTCCAACCCAGGCCCAACGCCGAAGGGAAGCAGCCGGGCCAACCCCCCTCGCAGCAGCCACTGGCGACCAGCCCGCCTCCCTCGGTAACAAACCACGTGCAGGCTGCCCCGCCTGGGTGGCTCTGAAGGAGAGGCGGGAGACGGCGCGTGCTGCACGGGCCGCAGCTGCTCTCGTAACAGTCAAGTTCCCCGCCCCTGCCCTGCGGACCAGAGCCTCAGCTGCGTGTTCTGTGATGTGTGTAACACGGGCATCTCTGAGTGCCCAGGACGCATCAGTCTACAACCAGCAGAGACGGCGCCAGCAGCGAGGACACCGCGTACACGACTCGGATCTCCAGGAGCGAGGCGTCAGTAATCGCAGCACGAGGGCGGGCGTGCTGAGTGCCGGGCTGCCCGGGGTGTCCTGGGCTCCCCGCACCGTGGGGGCTAGGCGTGGCGCCAACACTGGATTCACCCTCTCTCCCGATGGATCAATGGATACGCGGCTGTGTTTCCCAGCTCTGCTACAACCCTTCCCCCTGTGGTCTCGGGAGCCCCCGCCCAGCCGGATCGTCCCCGTGTGGCTGGTGGTGCTGCAGCCCACAGTGAGGATCGCCAGCTTGGAGGACGGCAGTCGAGCTCCTCCCCAGAACCTGGTCCCGAGCCGTCACACAGTGGGTCTCGGCCTAAAGTCCCTAGAATCACCGCGGGGACGCCACCGCCGGGCTGAGCCCGCGTGACACAGCCCGAGAGGGACGGCGAGCGGCTGACAAAAGGGACTTTTCCTAAAACGGAGATGTGGCTATCAAAAATAAATTTCTACATTTAAACGAATCTATCGCCGTGATCGGGCTGCAGTCGGTGTCCTGGTAACCGTCACGCCTGCCACGCAATGGCGTCTCAGCTGTGCGCCTCTCGCTTGGGCTCCTCCTCGATGCCGCGGGCAAAGAGCCGAACGAGCTGGCAGTGGACCCTGCGGAGACAGAGCCCTGGCTAAAGCCTGCACCCTCCCCCCGCACGGCTGACCTCAAGCCCCGGCGGGGGGGGGGGGCAGCAGGTGCCGACTGAGGGACACGCACTCCTAACCCCTGAGAGGTTCCATCGGTTTGGTTTTGAGATCCTTAGGACGAGAGAGGGACTGCCAGGGCAGAGCCCGGGGGCTGAGCAGCACCCAGAGCGGAGGGGCTGCGAGCCCGGGGCCTCGGGCCGGCGCACGCTCACCTGACCTCGATGGCGGGGCTGTGCAGGATCTCCCCGTCGCAGTTCCAGGAGCTCTTGGCGGCCGAGCGGCAGCAGGCGGGGCTGTCGCTGCACAGCGGCCCGAACCTCTGCTTGGCCCGCTCCTGCAGGTCGCCGTCCTCGCCCTCGGCGTGCTTCGACGTGAAGTGGAATCGCTTCACCCGGTAAACCTCTACGAAGGTGAAGTCAAACTGCGGGGGAGAGGGTGGAACTCGGTTGCCCGTGGAGGCACGGGGAGGGCGCCCCCCGCCAGGCGCTCGCCACGCCGCTTCCGACACTTCCGGAAACCACTGCCCAGCCACGGGGCCGAGCGCTTTCCACGGAATTCTGGTTGTAAGTTAGTGACCTGTATGGCTTTCCATCTTTTAAATCAAGCACTTCTTTAAAAGCCACAAAAAATAACACTGGACTACACCCTGAGTACAATACAGGTTAAAAACCCCAAGCTTTCGGGGGCAGGCACTTAGCAGTTACCTGGCCCCAGCTTCTTGCTCGTGAGCTCCCTGAAGGGCTGCAGATGAAGGCTCCCCACGTGTGACACCTGCGTGGGATTCCTGGTTTCCGGCCCAGCCCTCACTACCGTAGGCATCTCGGGAATGAACCAGTGCATGAGGGCTCGTTTGCTCACCCTTTGACAGGCAGAGTTAGACAGTGAGAGAGACAGAGAGAAAGGTCTTCCTTCCGTTGGTTCACCCCCAAAATAGCCGCTACAGCCGGCGCACTGTGCTGATCCGAAGGCAGGAGCCAAGTGCTTCCTCCTGGTCTCCCATGGGGTGCAGGGCCCAAGCACTTGGGCCATCCTCCACTGCCTTCCCGGGCCACAGCAGAGAGCGGGCCTGGAAGAGGGGCAACCGGGACTAGAACCCAGGGTGCCAGCACCGCAGGCGGAGGATTAGCCTAGTGAGCCACACACCAGCCATGCTCACCCTTTTTTAAAGATGAATTTATTTGGCCGGCGCCGCGGCTCAATAGGCTAATCCTCCACCTAGCGGCGCCAGCACACCGGGTTCTAGTCCCGGTCGGGGCGCCGGATTCTGTCCCGGTTGCCCCTCTTCCAGGCCAGCTCTCTGCTGTGGCCAGGGAGGGCAGTGGAGGATGGCCCAAGTGCTTGGGCCCTGCACCCCATGGGAGACCAGGAGAAGCATCTGGCTCCTGCCTTCAGATCAGTGCGGTGCGCCGGCCACGGCGGCCATTGGAGGGTGAACCAACGGCAAAAGGAAGACCTTTCTCTCTGTCTCTCTCTCACTGTCCACTCTGCCTGTCAAAAAAAAAAAAAAAAAAAAAAAAAAAAAAAAAAAAAAGATGTATTTATTTATTTGAAAAGCAGAGGTAGAGGGAGAGATCGCCCATCCGTTGGTTCACTCCCCAAATTCCCGCAACAGTGAGAGCTGGGCCAGTCCAAAGCTGGAGCTTCTTCCAGGTCTCCCGTGTCGGTGCAGGGGCCCAAGCACTTGGGCCATCCTCCACTGCTTTCCCAGGCACATTAGCAGGGAGCTGGATCAGAAGTGGAGCAGCCGGGACTCGAACAGGCACCCATATGGGATGCAGGCGCTGCAGGCAGTGGCTTTACCTGCTTACGCCACAGCACCGGCCCCTGGAAGGGAGCTTGCTCTCTGCTTCTCAGATAAATGATTAAAGAGCAAAGCTTCATTAAAATTAAACTGTGATCACAAATTTCAGCTTGCTGGCACTGTGGCGTAGTGGGTAAAGCCACGACCTGCAGTTGCAGCATCCCATATGGGCGCTGGTTCGAGGCCCGGCTGCTCCACTTCCAATCCAGCTCTCTGCTATGGCCTGGGAGAGCAGAAGGTGGTCCAAGTGCTTGGGCCCTTGTACCCATGTGGGAGACCCGGAAGAAGCTCCTGGTTCCTGGCTTTGGCCTGGCCCAGCTCTGGCTGTTGCAGCCATTTAAGCGGATAGAAGCTCTCTCTTAAATAAAATTAAAAAAAAACAACTTCATATATATATATATATATATATATATATATATATATATATATATGATGAAAAACAGCCCCAGCCCCCCGTGCTACTGGACTCGGGTCTGTCTCTCCCAGGTGACTGCAGGGGCTGTGACAATGATGACGACAGCATGCTAGAACAGGCGCCATCTGAGTCTGTCTCTCCATCTCATTGTACCCAACTGTTTCTGGAATTCTCTGACATTTTGGCCGATGGAAAGGGGGCGTCCCTGCGTGTGTGTGTGTGGGCAGAGACGGGAGTCACTGACTAGCAGCAGAGCGAACAGCTCCATCCTGACTGCACTGTGGGATCCAGGGGCCAGGAGCTGGGGACGGCCGGGCCCTACCCACCTGGTCGTCCTGGTTCCTGTGCCTGACCAGGAACCGCAGGAAGTTGAACCTGGAGCATTTCCGGATGAGGATGAGGTCACAGGACCCGTCTCCCAGGTGGGCAGCCGGGGAGAGGCCCCGGGGGCTCCGGGGACAGGCACAGGACATGTTGGTGGCGTTGATGGCCAGGAACTTCCCGCAGACCACCTGCCACTCCTCCATCTCCTCTGAGGAGAGAGAAGCAGGCCCGCGGTTACAGAGCAGGGCGCGCGCTCTCGTGCCGTGGGGACCTGAGGGCTCCCGACGCAGGGCCGCTGCCCAGGGCGGGCTCGTGTGTGCTGCCCCGGCGCATGACGCGCGGAGTCCGCGAGCCACTTCTGCCGCCTGTCTGCGTCAGGGCTCAGGGCTCAGGGCTCAGGGCTCAGGGCTCAGGGCTCCAGGCGGCCTTCACGTTCTTAAACAGTTGAGAGAAGTCACAAGAACTTCTGAAAATTTGCTGAGATTTCAGTATCCAGAAATAAGGTTTTGAGGGCAGGCAGCCTCACCGCTCATCTACATATTGCACACGGGGCCGCAGCTGCCGTGCAGAGAGGGGGAGGCCGGAGGGGTCTCCGCCGACCCCGCACCCTAGAGCAGGAGGGTGGCCGCGCCGCCAATGCCTGGGCAGTGGCACAGACGCGTGCTGCCCGGAGCAGAGAGAAAGCGGACGCGGGACTCGAGGCAGGACGAGGAGAGGGAGGGGACGGGCCGCCACGGCTGCGTGGCCTTACCGGTGTCTCCCAGGCCGTACAGCGCCTTCTTCTGCTCTTCCTCCAGCTGCTGCTTGCTCTGCCTGCACACAAAGCACCTGGGAGACAGGAACACGACCGCCGTTTGGTTAACCGTGCGGCGCACGGGCCTGGCACACAGGAAGGTCCCGACACTCTTTCCGTGTGATAGATTTCCATGCCAGAGGCTCAACCGAAAGTGCTGCTTGGGTATGCTAAGCTGCATCCTCCAAACCGGTCTACTTTCACCCTCACATAAGTCGCCACGTCCCCCTCAAACACGAGCGTGTCGCCCTGGAGACGGCCAGGGCACCGCTGGGACACGCGGCTCGGCACCAGCTCCAGCCACAGGTGCCTGGGTGACGCTCATTTACTTCAGATAAACGACGTGACAGCTGTCCGTCCTTGTCAGTAACGATGAATGAACAACTCGGAACTCAGCCGGCAGCTGCAGCGCGGCTTTGGGCCCAGGGACTGAGATCCTCACGCTGTCCGACGGCGCAAGTGCTCAGGCTGCGGACAACAGCCCCTGCCGCCAGCGCTCGGACGTCACGGCCTCCTCACTTACGGAGCCCGCCCAGTTTTAAAGGAAAGGATGCGGCGAGCAAGCCGCAGACTGCTGCCCCTCTCCACTGTCACTGTCCCTACTGTCCTGTCTCTACTGTCCCCATTGTCCCCCGTCTGTCACTGTCCCATCTCCACTGTCACTGTTCCTCACTGTCACTGTTCCTCACTGTCCTGTCTCTACTGTCCCCACTGTCCCCCGTCTGTCACTGTCCCGTCTCCACTGTCACTGTTCCTCACTGTCACTGTTCCTCACTGTCCTGTCTCTACTGTCCCCACTGTCCCCCGTCTGTCACTGTCCCGTCTCCACTGTCACTGTTCCTCACTGTCACTGTTCCTCACTGTCCTGTCTCTACTGTCCCCACTGTCCCCATCTCCACTATCACTGTCTCCACTGTCCCATCTCCACTGTCAGCGGCATGGCCACACAGCCCAGGGCAGTGGAGGTTAGGATTTACTTGTGATCCTTAGACTGCTCGGATACTGGGGGGAGGCCCCAGCTATAGGAGGTGGGGTCCTTGTCAGCCCCCACCCGCACAGAGCGCCCTGGCCAGGTTGACAGCAGCCTCGAGGGCAGGGTCCTGGGCGTCTGGGCTGCTGCTCACTCCCCTCCCCCACGGGGCCACCTTCTCTCTGTCCCCTCCTGGGCTCTCCTGACCCAGGAAGAGCTTCCGCCTTGCAGCGTGCGGCAAGAGTGGGCACGCTCTCTGCCAGGGTGGGACCAGGGCCCCACATCCACCTCCTGCCGAGAACTCGGACCCGAGTCCAGCTGCACGGGGCCGTTTCCGGGCGGTGGCCCCAGTGCCGCGGTTGATGACATGGCTGCCTGGCCTTTCCTCCTTGCACCCGTCAGGCCCCGGAGGGCAGAGCAGACCCCACAAGGAGCAGCCTGCCGATGGCCCAGATGGCCCGTGTGGCGCGGCTGCCCTTCCCGTCACAGGGCCGGAGGCGGCTCACGCAGGCCGCCGCCATCTCAGCCTCTGCCTGCGAGGTGACTTCTGCACTCGCCTTGCTTCCAGGAGTAACCCCAACAGCCCCGCCCACAGGAATGGCTTACCCTGCCCGGCAGGGCTTCCCGTCCCGCGGAGACCCCACCGTGTGCTGCGCCGGGAGGAAGGACACAGTCCCCTCGTAGCAGTGGTGCGACAGAAAGGTCTTCACACCTGAGGACAGGCCGCAGCCCGAGAAACAGCCACGGTCACTGCTCGGTTCTGAAACCACGACGCGGCATCAACCCACCCGCGGGAGCACGGGGCGGGGGCGGGCAGGATCTCTGCTCATGGTGCCAGTGCCGGCCCCTCCCAAGACCCAGTGGCCAGGGGGCGGCTGGGGGCTTGGTGGCACTGGTCACCACTGGGGTCAGGGACACAGCCTTGGACACAGCCTGCATATTCCCGCAGCTCAAGGTCATCACAATGGCCCCGCCTGCCCCAGTGCGTGGCCCCACCAGGCTGTCCCTCAGGCCCACTGTGCTGGGCGGCCCGTGGTGCGCCCCGTGTCCCCTGCACACAGAGCTGGCCTGCTGGACCGGGACAGCCACCAAGCGGACCAGGGAGTGGGGAGGGCTGGCTGCTTCCCCCGGAGGCGCCCTCCCACGTCCCACCGTCCCCGGTTCTGCGTGCCCCTAGACGGGCCCGGGCTGCTCTGTCCGCCTCAGACTCAGAGCACCCTGTGCACGGCTCCTTCCTGACCGCTGCCGCCCTGTCCCCGGCAACAGCGCACTGGGGTCCGGGAGGCGGGTGCGGGGCAGAGACCCGAGCTCTGTGCCGGTGACCCACAGGGGACAGACGAGAGCATGAAGGCGCAGGGCAGCTCCCCGGGGTCTGGCAGAGCGCAGCCCACCGGTGCTGTGGGGGAAGCCAGGGAACGGCAGCACAGGTTTGCCGGGGTCACAGCTGTCCCGGCCCCTCGGCCCCTGCTCCCACTCCAGGTTTGGGCAGGCCAGCGGACTTCGGCGTTTCCTGTTTTAATTTCCACCTCACACTGCAGTTTTTAATGTAAGCGGATCTTAGAGCTACGCAGAGCTTCCCAAGTTACCATTCCACTCTCTCACGAGCAAAGTGGTAACGTTTTAGGATTTGGAATTATTCTCGTCAATAGGTCTACTCAAAAGCCAACCATAAAAAGCAGAGGCCACATAAACACAAATCCTGAGACGACACAGCAGAGGCGTTCATCCGAGCAACAATGTCGAACCCCAGGTCTCTGCAGGGTCCCCCCCACCCTCGGAGGCTGGTGGGACGAAACCGCAGCGCGCCCTGCGCTGTGCGGGCGCCGTCCTCGCCGTCCTCTCGAGCTGGCACCGGGTCTCCTCCATCCCAGCTCTGGGCTCAAGGGAAAGGAGAGCTGCCTGCCTCAGGGGCGCCACCTGCGCCCGGGAGTCCTACACATGTGCTCCTCCAGGCCCACCACACCTCTGCCTCAGGAACTCCGGGGGGGCCAGGTTTGGGTTCCCACAAGCCACCCCGCCCCCATGCACAGGGTGTGGGTGTCCACACAAGTCTGCGTGCTGACCCAGAACGAGGTGAGTTCGGACGGGGTGAGTGCGGGAGCCGCCTGGCGCCGGTTTTCTCAGCTGCGGAGAGTGAACCCCGCGGCCACCCCACAGCCACAGCAGCCCCGGCTCGCAGACACAGGGTCTTGCCTGTTGGGGTCACTGGCCCGTGCCCCGCATCCAGAGCAAGGCCCGACTCGGCAAATGCAAGCTCCCGCTGACCTCAGCACGGTGACGGGAGGCCTCGCTGGGGCCAGGCCCTCGCACGGACACCTGGGGCTGAGGGTCCTGTCGCTCGGACTGATACGTGCAGACTGATTTCCGGCTAAAACCTGCAGCTGTCTGAGGCAGCTGACTCCGTCCTGATAGATCAGGTGACCGACAGCCTGGAGTGTGCTGTGTGCCTGTCCGTCGGCAGCGTCCAGCCCGCTTGCCTGGGACTGTGCCGCCACGGTGCAGGCTCAGTCCAGCCCTCGGCCATGCGGGGAGGGCGTGCCTGGGCTGCAGTGTGCGTGAGGACAGAGCCGCGTCACCTGCGACGTCGTATCTGATGAGACCCATCCACCGCTTCCTCTCGCTGTCCTTGATGATGTCCCCGTAGAAGCCGTAGCCCAGCAGGGACACCCAGTACCGCAGCAGCGTGCTGTTGTGGTGGACCGAGGACACGTCCATGGGCAGCGAGTCCCCTGCGGGAACAGCAGACACGGAGTCAAAGCCTCGCCTACCCGCGGGAAACAGCGCTGGGCAGACCTCGGCCACGGGCCGGCCCTTCCACTCAAACCACACAACTGGACTAAAACAGGCCTGGCACCAGCAGGTGGCGCCAGAGTGCGCCCGTGAGGCTGCGGCGGTGTCACAGGGTGGGGGTGGGGGGCTGGGGAGAGGAGCAAAGGCACAGGGTGGGGGTGGGGGGCTGGGGAGAGGAGCAAAGGCACAGGGTGGGGGTGGGGGTGTGAAACACAAAGCACCAGGGGGCGGCCGTTCCAAGTCAAACTGTGTGACTTCAGGACAGCAGTCACACCACAAGGCCGGGCCGGGAACGGGTGGCCCTCGCCCAAGGGGGTCAACGCCCTTGGCCTGGCGGGCATGTCAGAGAGAGCAGAGGCCACGCGGGTGGCCCCAGCACTGCTGGCCACCCAGGCGAGAAACACTGGGCGCCCAGGGGAGGGGGAGCCGCGAAGTCAAGGTGATGTGAGCAGAGCCTGGCAGACAGGAAGACTCCCCACAGAGAACGGCAGGGACAGGTGCCTGGTGTCCCACCAGGGGGCCCCGTCCCCACCTTGGGCCCGTCCTCCCTCAGGGCCGTGCTAAGAAGCCGGCGGAGCTGAGCCAGGCTGAGTGAAGATGACTTCTCAGGGTGGGAGCTTGGAGCCAGGGCCCAGGGACGTGGACCAGGCCAGGCAGGCCCGAGGCCTGGCCAGTCACAGGCACTGCCCACGCCGCTGTTCAGGTGCGACAGAGAGGGGCGGTGGGCTCGGGGCCTCACAGGGCCGCCTCGTCGAGCGGGGACTTACCCACCACGATGTGCAAAGCTGACGTCTCGGCGTCATTGGTGCCCACTGTCGAGTAACACACACAGTCCGTGGACCCTGCGGGACACAAGGTTTCACGTCACTGTGGGACCGAGCACTGGGACAGGCACGGCCACGAGTGGGAAATCCGCTCCTCCTCCTCTCCCAGGCCCCGGAGGGAACACGGAGGAGCACAGGGACTGGCCTGCAGACAGCACCACACGGCCCCTTCCAGGGCTGCTCTCGGCAAGCCCGCTGGCGTCAGAGGCCATTCCGGAAGCCCACCTTGGGGTGGGGCCACGGAGAAGCGTGGGCAGCTCCAGCCACACCCTTCATGGCAGGTGCACCTTGTGGCCCCGACCACGACAGCCGCGGGAATGCACACAGAGCAGCCTGCGGGGAGAGTGCCCAAGGCGAGGCCACCCGCGGAGGCCACGGGAGAAACATCAGGCTTTTCCCACGAGGACCCGCGTTCAGCAGCATCAAGGAGATGCAGGCTGACGGCACTCACTCGGATCCCCAGCCGCCACCCTGGCCGCCACGGGACTCGGAGCCCCCAGCCTCTGCTTCCTTGTCGGTCAAGTGGGGGCGACCGCAGCGTGGCCTCCGGCAGTGAGCGCCGGCAGCCGCGTCTCCCGTGGGTCACATGGAGCTAGTGGACTGAGCACACCGCGAGGCGCTTGTTCTGAGCCAGCCGACCACCTAACAGGGGCGCTGAGTTCAGCCCACCCTGGCCAGGGGCCCCTGGAATAGACCAGGTGGTGACGTCTACACCGGACAACACCGCCATGGACACAGAACCATGCATGGGGAGCAGCCACCGGTGCTGACAGCAACAGAAGCCCCAGAACAGTCCACAGGCTGCCAGGCACGGGCGACCGCTGAGGGCCTCTCGGCTTCCATGAGCTCTTAGAGTGCCATCAGCGTGTCCACGGAAGGCCACGTGGTGTCACCGCGGCCCCATCTTTATAAGGGCTCCCAGGCAACAGGGGTCAGCATTTCTGAGCAGACAGCGGGAGCTGCTTCACTGCCTGAGCCACGCCCATACCCCCCCCCCCGAGCCCTTCTCGCCCCAGAACTCCTCACTGTGTCCAGGGCCCACTGACCGCAGCCCCGGAACCCACCTCCAGGCCCACGTCCTCTGCTGCTGGTCGGCCGTGACCCCTACACTCCGCCAACTCTGGCAGCAGAGACAGCCACGCCCCCGAGTGAGGACGATGCAGCGGGGGTCTCCCCTCCTCCCGCCCTGTGTCCCTGCAGCCCAGGCCACACAGGAGGAGCTGACTGGGACCTCACGGCTCTCACACAGATGCCATGGGAAGTACAAAGCGTCACAGAGGAACCCGAGCCAGCGCTCAGTGCTGGAGGAAGCCACCGCTCCCAGCCTTGCCTTAACGGCTGCTCACAGCCATTGGGTGTACAGCTGCAGCCGGGAGGGCCCTGACCAGCGGCCAGTGTCACCAGCTGTCCCACGGCCCCGTGGCACTGTGGCTTGGGAGGACTGGGGCACAGGGGCCGGGGCTCGGACCAACACAGCCCAAGTTCACCCCGTGGGAAGGAGCTAGATGCCTGCCACGGGGCACAGGTGCAGGAGGCAGGGCCGGGGCCGCCGGGCTGAGGACGACGCGGACGCCGGGCAGAGCTGCGGCACGAAGCTGTGCTTTCCACCAGGCTCAGGTCTTTGTGGACGGAAGAGCAGGCCACAGAGTGGGTATTTTACCTGCACGCCACAGGCCCCACTCTCCCAGAAACCCAGGGCCACCCTCGCTGCTGCCCTCGTCCCGAGGCCCAGGCTGTCCCCGAATGCACAGCGACCGCTCCCAAGTTCATCTCATCCCATTCTTCTGGCCTTCGGACGGCACTGTCATCTTTCAGATGCCCGTGGGTCTACAGGCACAGAGCTGGCCGTGGTGCTGGCCACACGCAGTGTCCCCGAGAGCCGGGCGGGGTGGCGTCGCCCCTGCCCCTCCTGCAGCCCGCACCACTCCTCCCAGCCCCTCCCAGCCCCGAGGACACCCCACCCTCCCTGAGCACCAGGCGAGCAGAGCAGCCAGCGTCCTCACACCACAGACTGTGCCTCACTCACGCGGCTGGAGCTGGAGTTCAGAGGCAAGGATGCACTCAGGGCAAGGCCTGATAGAGGGCCCCCCAGACTCGGCGCCACCGCAGACTCGGAACTCGGGAACACCAGGCATGGCCTCGGCCCTTCAGAAGCTCGGAGTCCGTCTGTCACCGCGGCAGCGCCGTCCGCCAGCTCTCAGGGCGCCTGTGCCTCGCCTGGCGGCACCCATACCCGGGGCGGAGGAGGGGGTCCACCGTCCTCCCCTGCACACAGGCCGCGGGCTGAGGTCTCACCACAAACGGCCCCCACGTGTGCGCGCGCTTTCCAAGCTCTGACAGCTGAGCGTCGCAGGCGCCGGCCTGGCCACGGGCGAATGCTGCTAAAAGGCAGGCAGAGCCATGAAGGAAAGATGGATCAGAGCTGGCGCCATGGCTCGATAGGCTAATCCTCCACCTAGCAGTGCCGGCACACCAGGTTCTAGTCCCGGTCGGGGCGCCGGATTCTGTCCCGGTTGCCCCTCTTCCAGGCCAGCTCTCTGCTGTGGCCTGGGAGTGCAGTGGAGGATGGCCCAAGTGCTTGGGCCCTGCACCCCATGGGAGACCAGGAGAAACACCTGGCTCCTGGCTTTGGATCAGCGCAGCAACGGCCGTAGTGGCCATTTGGGGGGTGAACCAATGGAGGGAAGACCTTTCTCTGTCTCTCTCTCTCACTGTCTATAACTCTGTCAGTCTGTCTCTCTTTCTAACTCTGCCTGTCAAAAAAAAAAGAAATGGATCAGACATGGAGACGTCCAACCCCAGAGTACAACACACCACACACACGGTGGAGGGACAAAGGGCTGACAAACCTGAACAAGGCTGCACGGCGTGGCCACCAACCTGACCACCCCCACCCCTCACCCAGAAAAGACAAGGCGCCGAAACAGGGTCACCGAAGCACGGATGGCAGCAGCCATCTGTGGAGGCATAGCAGTCTCAGGGTAAGCAGAGGAACGCAGAGACAGAGCGAGCAGGTGCTCTGCCCACCAGACCCGAGAGGAGGGAACGCAGACTCGCTGCCCGTGGTGGGCCACACGGACGGGGCCTGTGTGGGGAGCTCGCAGGCCCAGAGGCTCCAGGAGGCCTGTGTGGGGAGCTCGCAGGCCCAGACACCCCACATCAGGCCTATGTGGGAGAGCTCGCAGGCCCAGACACCCCACATCAGGCCTATGTGGGAGGAGCTCATAGGTCCAGAGAACCCACGTCGAGGCCTGTGTGGGTGGGGGAGCTTGTAGGCCCAGAGACCCCATGTCGAGGCCTGTGTGGGAGGGCTCGTACCCAGAGACCCCACATCAGGGAACCCCAAGGAAACCATGGCATGCAGCCCCCGAGGGCCACCCTGCAGATGCCCATGTGTTCAGCAAGTGTGGAAGCCACAGCAGAGTAACGGGGGACAGATGTGAGGGGCAGTGGGGGATCCACTCGTTCCCCATGGCACAGGAGCTGTCGGCAGACAGAGGCCTTGCGAACCCGTACCAGCCAGCAAGACCGGCACAGCCTGTGCACCTCACACAGCCGCCATCACCGCTCACCCCACCACCACCGAGGGCACCCATGCCAGGGTGGGGCCTCCCCGCTGTGACGGGAGCCGACAGGCGTCACCCGGGGCCCGGGACCCCTCCCATTGCCCTTGCCTTCTCTGAGAGGTCAGCAACCACGGGAGACCCACAACGGAGGAGGGCGTCGGTGGGGACCCCGCCACAGGGGTCCTCATGACTGCTAAGAGCCACTGCTTCCCTCGGGGCTCGGGCGCCGAGGTTCCCCGGCAGCCATGGTTCAGAGACCGTCGCATCAGAGCTCCCGCTGAGGGCCTCACAGGGACCCAGAACAGACAGTGCCCCTCGGTGTGTCATTAAGACCTTGCTCCTGGGGCCGGCGCTGTGACGTAGCGAGTAAAGCCGCCACTTGCAGTGCCGGCATCCCATATGGGCGCTGGCTCAAGTCCCAGCTGCTCCTCTTCGGATCCAGCTCTAGGCTGTGGCCTGGGAAAGCAGTAGAAGGTGGCCCAAGTCCTTGGGCCCCTGCACCCCCATGGGAGACCTGGAAGAAGCTCCTGGCTCCTGGCTTCGGATTGGTGCAGCTCCTGCCATTGCGGCCAGTTGGGGAGTGAACCAGCGGATAAAGACCTCTTTCTCTGCCTCTCCTTTCTCTGTGTAACTCTGACTTTCAAATAAATAAATAAATCTTAAAAAAAAAAAAAAAAAAAAAAAAAAAACCTTGCTCCTGGTCACCTCTTTGCTTGTGCTGAGACCCCCAAGCTGTTACGTCACGCCGGCCCCCTAAAAGCGAGGCTCTGTACTGAGCCCCACAGCGGCCTTGTGGCACAGCTCATGAGGTCCGTCACTGACTGGGGGTCCACAGGGCAGGTGCACAGGGTGACCCGAGTGATGCTCCCAGCAGCACCGCCTGTGGGAGACAGGGCAGGGTGCAGAAGCTGGGGCAGCACAGGGCGGAACAGCGCAGCTTGACGAGGCACAGTGGGCTCTGGGCTGCACCTCCGGGCCCCCCTAACGAGGCACAGTGGGCTCTGGGCTGCACCTCCGGGTCCCCCTGATGAGGGCACAGTGGGCTCTGGGCTGCACCTCCGGGCCCCCCTGACAAGGCACAGTGGGCTCTGGGCTGCACCTCTGGGTCCCCTCTGCCCCCCCGGGCCTCCTGTCTTCAATCACGAGTGGGGGTAGTGTGGCACTCGCGCCACAGCGCAGTCAAGAGAGCAGCTTCCACGAGGTGGCCCGGAGCCACTACAGCTGGCGCCAGCCGCTCGCTGCTGGTCAGGTGCAGACCCCTGGGCAGGCGGGCGGGGGAGGAAGGAAGGTGCCTCCCCCTCGCCAAGGGGACCTCAGAGCCGCGCACCAGCAACACCCAGGCCTCATGCTGCTCGACTTAACACTGGGTTCTCAAAGAACTGGGTGCTTCCTGGAGAGCCGCCAAGAACAATCTGGCCAAACCAGCGCGTGTGGGAGGAGCCCGGCCCCCGCGGGCAGCAGGACCCGGCCCCAGCTTCTGCACCTGCCTGTCCCTCTGCGACCCCTCACCATCGCCCCTGACCCCAGGCCTGCTCTTCCTTCTGCCCCACAACTCCCAGCTCCTGCTCATCAGCTGAGGTCACTTCTTCCAGAAACCCACCCTGACCAGCCACCAGCCTACACCCGGGGCACCAGGCACCTCCTGACCCAGGACTGGGCCCCAGGGCCCGCCCCCTCCTCCCAACAGAGGCCCCTGGGGGCGGGGTCTGCAGAGCCCAGGAGCAGGGCCGGGCTCCAGGTCCCTCACGGACACCATCTCTGGGAACGGAGGATGGCTGCCCCAGAGCGGCCCCAGGGCTCACCCACGCGAAGGTAAGCGCTGCTACAGCGGGGGCGGGGCGTACCGGCGGGGATGATGCCGATGCGGAGGGCGATGGGCGCCAGCGCGGCCCGAGGGTGGTTCTGGTCGACGCCGGCGCTCCTCTGCGTCCTGCCGATGAGGCCGTGCAGCACCTCGCTGAACATGCCGTCCCCGCCCACACACACGACGCTGCGGAGGGGAGCACGGGCCGCTCAGGGCGCGGAGGCTGCAGGCTGCGCCCTGCCCCGGGGCGCCCACGAGTGCACACCCGCACGGAAACAGCTGCGTCCCCCGTGTCGTGGAGGGGAAGCAGAGGGCAGGTCTCGGGTTCACAGGACACCTCGTGGCTGGTGGCAACCCGGAGCCCAGCAGGGAGGCGGCAGGCGGGGTCGGGGGTTCAGCCACAGGCGAGCAGGGCGAGGGGCGCCTTGGCATCTGAGTGAGGCGGTCAGCGTGTCCAGCTGTGTGGGTGCCGGGGCAGTCTTGGGGGTGAGGGTCTCACCTACACGCTTCTTCGTGGGGCCCGGGCTCCACCCCGTGCCCTCCACGCCTGCGCCCTGCCCCGGGGCGGCCCGCCCCCGCAGGGCTGTGGTTTCAAAGCAGCTTCAGTAAAGTGCACAGTGCGGCACCTGCCCCGCTCCAACGGAGGTGGGTGCGCGGTCAGTGTCCCTGGGTCACCGTCTGGCCAGCAGAAACTCAAGGGCCGGGAGGGACACGAATGGCATCCCACTGGAACGTGCCGTTCTTGACCCAGGTGCAAGACAGCAGACTCACCCGTCGTACTTGTCCAGGTTCATCTCGTACAAAGCCTCCTGGGCTTGATTGGCACGCTCGGTGACTGCGGGAAACAGGAGCACAGCACACGCTCATTCACACCTGCGAATCCCTATGCGAACGACCCAGAAACCAGGGCCCTGGAAGCCCCCGAGCAGGACTTCCCGTAAGAAGTCCCTTCTGGGACTGCACCTGCTTCCCCCTTCCACGGGGGGCACCCACGCGGGAGCCGCCACCTTCTGGCGTGTGAATGCCAGCAAACACTGGTGCCTCTGAAAGCCACTCCAGCTTCTATCTTACGGTCTTCCCTTATTCTAGGAATTACTTCCAAAATTTTAGAATATTCCAAGGCAGGTAGGTGGCCTAGCAGCTGAGCCGCCAGTTGGAGCCTGCACCCCGTATCTGAGTGCCTGGGTTCCAGGCCCGCCTCCAGTCCTGCTGGTGGCACACCCCAGGAGGCAGTGGTGACGGCTGAGTGCTCAGGGACCTGCCCACTCACACGGGAGACCCAGACCGAGTTCCCAGCTCCTGGAGGCTTGGCCTGGTGCAGACCTGGGTGTTACAGACATTTTGGGAATGAACCAGCCGATAAGAGCGCGCTCTGTCTCTGCCTCTCCATCTCAAGTTAAAAAAATAAAAATTGTTGGCCGGCGCCGCGGCTCACTTGGCTAATCCTCCACCTAGCTGCGCCAGCACACCGGGTTCTAGTTCCGGTTGGGGCACCGGATTCTGTCCCGGTTGTCCCTCTTCCGGGCCAGCTCTCTGCTGTGGCCAGGGAGTGCAGTGGAGGATGGCCCAGGTGCTTGGGCCCTGCACCCCATGGGAGACCAGGAGAAGCACCTGGCTCCTGCCATCGGATCAGTGCGTTGCGCCGGCTGCAGCGCGCCAGCCGTGGCGGCCATTGGAGGGTGAACCAATGGCAAAGGAAGACCTTTCTCTCTGTCTCTCTCTCTCACTGTCCACTCTGCCTGTCAAAAATATAAAAAACAAAAAACAAAAAAAAAACTGTGCAACTCAGCCTCCTCCAGGGAGAGCACCTGGACCACGCTCAGGCTGACCCCTGCAAACGTGACCGAGAAGCCGGGGAATGTGCCCCTTACCGATGACCTCGGTGCTGATGGCGGCCAACGTGAACAACGGCGCCACTTTCCTCTCGTATATCCGCTTGCCTTGTCCTTTTCCTCCGAACGGATTGATAAAAACCAGCAAATGCTTCGGCCTAGACGCTGCAGAGCAAGAACGACCACGCATCAGTCACCACGTCTCACAAAATCAGATCCTCGAATTAAACTCCGCTCCGAGGGTTTTAGGATTCTGCGTGGTCTCTGGATCGGGAAGAACACTGATCAGGAGTTTCTAATCCATGAAAAGTAAAAAGCAAAAGGTGGGCAGAACGGAAGAGGCGTTGCACACCTGCCGGCCGACACAGGCTCACGCGGGGCTGCCTCAGGGGTAAACTCTGCGAGGCAGCCTCGCGCTTCTGCACGCTCAGAGAACAGCAGTGAAATGGATGCACGGAACGGAGCGTGAGGACAGACGGACAGGCAGGCCCGTTAGCAGAGGGCCTGACACAGAGACGGACAGACAGATGCAGAGACAGGCTTCTCCAGTCCTGGTCTCAGTCCCTGCCGAGGCCCTGCTGAACTCCACCCGGGCTCCTTGGGGCAGGCACCCTTATTTTCTTATAACAACTTCCACATTTCCATTCTGGCCAGTTCAAGGGAGGCTGTGAGTGAGAACCTGCCGGCAGCGAGCACCCCAGGCCTGGAGTCTCCACTTCCAAACCCTCTTGAATGTTCAAGGACAAGCGTCCAGCCCTTCTGGGGCCCAGAGAGGCCGCAGCTCCTCTGAGCTGGGGGAGGCCACTGCAGCTGGGGAGGCCAACCAGACAAGGAGCCACCACGAGGCTCACACGGGCCCAGCCCTCTCTCGAATCTGGGGCCAAACGCCCTAAAGCAAGGATCAGCGAGCAGCATCCAGGGAGCAACACTGCTCCACCCAGAGGGGCTCGCTCCAGGATTTCGAAGCACCCACTCCAAGAAGAGACCCTCACAGCCATCTGTGAAGATGAGGAGGCCGTTATCACGCCCACTCGGAGTAAAATCCAGGGTTCTCAAAAAGCCAGGAGCAGGGGCCAGCACTGTGGAGCAGCAGTTTAAGTTGCCAATCCAGCTCCCTGCTAAGGCACCTGGGAAAGCACCAGAGGATGGTCCAAGTCCTTGGGCCCCTGCACCCACGTGGGAGACCTGGAAGAAGCTCCTGACTTCAGCCAGGCCAGTCCCAACTGTGTGGCCATTTGGGGAATGAACCAGCGGGTGGAAGAACTCTCTCTCAAACTCCTTTCAAATAACAATAAATAAACCTCAAAAAAAAAAAAAAAAAAAAAAAGAAGAAAGAAGAAAGGAATTCTTGTAACCTGATTTAAAAAATCTATCAAGAACCTAAGAGACCTAATTCTCAAGGGCAGAACGTTAGCAACTCTCCCCTGGGGTCGGGAGCAGACAAGATGCGGCATCTGTCCTTGCCGCCCTGATGATCCAACCAAAACGTAAGAAAAGCTGTGAAAGGAAGCACTGACCCGGAAGCAGCGGGCTGCCGTGCCCAGCGACAGGACCGCGCTTGAGAAGCCACTGTCAAACTCTTAGAAACGGGAAGTGGATTTAGCAAGGTACTGGCTGCAAGATGAAATATAAAATCCCAGCAAGAAAACAGGACAGCAGGGACAAGGGCGGCCTGGCCCACCCGGGCACAAGGCCCAGGGATGCCCATGCTCCAAGACAGCAAACCTCCAGGGCTCACTCACCGCGCAGCCAAGATCCGGGCGGAGCGCGCTGCGGCGCTAACCGTGAACGGTCAGACGTGCAGCTGTGAGAAGGAAGCCCCTCCATGACCTCGGAGTGGGCAGATGTCTTAGGGCATTTAACCCACAGGGTTAAATAACGAACTATATTCAAATGAAGAGGGTTCATCACAAGACGCTGATCCAATCAGACCATGAAGAGCAAGCCAAGGGGAGGGAAGCAACCCATAATTCACAGGCTCAGTGGGCGCGGAGGTCCACGGAGGTCCACGGAGTGAGAGCTCACACATCACTAAGGAGAGGGACCACCACGGCGGCTGAAAGACTAAGCGGCCCCAAACGGCCCACAGACACGTGCGTTTCCCAAGTGTGTCGCCCATCCAGGAAACGCGAATTAAAGCCATCGCGTAGAACAACCTTCGCGCCCCGCGGTGGCTGCAGTGAGGGGCCTGGGTCTGCCGTGCGCCCAGAACGCGGCTGCAGCGTCGGCTGGCGCTGCCCTCAACAAACAGCCTGGCACTGGCCGCTGGCTTTGGACACAGGCACACTCTACAGCCCCCAGATTCTGACAGAAATGGAGACGCGTCCAGGACACGCATCAGAGCGCCTGCAGCAGCCATCACTCGCCACGGCGCACCAGGAGGCCGCTCACCCGCTGGCCATCGGCAGGAACCAGACACCGTGCAGCCAACCACGAGCAACCTACAGCCAGCCACACGCGATGCCACGGACGGACGACACCAACGTGGTGCTGGGCCCCGAAGCCATATGCACCAGAGTCCAAAGCGGCCTGCTTAGAGGTCAGACGGCCGCTGCCCTTTGGGGAGCAACGACCGGGCCCGCAGCTTGGTGGAGTTCGGTGTGAGAAGTCACTGCCCTGTGCCGCTTCCATTTCACTACAACCTCAGCCAACACAGCGGAGCAGAAATAACACCCTCTATCGTTAGCAGATGACGGCTCGTGCACAACACTGCGAGTTTTTCTATGAATCACACAGAAACACACCTGCACCCTCAGAACCAGCGGCCCCGCACCCCACACCCGGAAGGCTCACGATGACCACCCCGACAGGTGCAGGTGGGCGGGGAGAACCCAGAGGAGGGCAGAAGAAAGCAAGGCCGCTCTCCGAGCAGACTGCTGCTGGGACACAGGGAGGGTGGGCGCCCTGCGGTCCGGGCAGCGGGCACGGCAGGACCGGCTTGCCACGGCAGCAGGCAGCCAACGCCAGCTCCACAGGGCAAGCCGAGAGCCGGGAGCCAGGTCCTCCAGCCCCGGCGGAAAGCGGAAGCGCCTTCCAAGCGAGGTCATTTTTCTCCAGATACTTCGCCACTTGCTCGTTCCACCCAGATGCCAAAGTAACTCAGACACCAAAGTCACCCAACACACGTGTACTACCTCCCTCCCTCAGCTGTGCTGAGCCGCCAACCCAGCACCTGCACAATGTGGGAGACATGGGATGAACGGCACCTGCCGTCCACTCAGCACACAGCGACCGCCCGCGGACGTGAGAGCCGTGGCCCTCCGTGCACCTGCCGCAGGACCTTCACTGGCGCAGGTGTCACAGGCACACCGCCCCCACCTTCGGGAGAGGAGCCCGAGGCCAGGACGGTTCAGGCGCTGCCTCATCCCCGCGGCCCGATGCCGGGTCACAGGCCTGAGCCCGTGCTGTCCCCACGGCAGCAGCCATACAAGCAGCCCGTACTGTCCCATACAGCAGCCGCCTCGTCACCAGCACCCCGCTGCCCACACGTACTCAGCTTCTCCAGGAGCTCCCTGAGGGTCTGCAGCCACAGGTGGCACAGCTGCTCGTCGGCGCTCCAGAACGTCACCTGTGCCCACTTCCAGCGGTGCTGCCGCGCCCTCTTCACGCAGTGAACTGCAGAGACAACAGGCCGTGAGCGCGGTGCCCCGCCCCCGCCGCCCCCTGCTCCTCCGTGAGCGGGAAACTACTTCTCAGACCTCTGCGCCACGGGAAAAATAGAGGTGGCTGCAGCCACAAGGTTAACTGAGAGGGGGTCCTGGGAAAAGATCCCGCGAAGACGGAGCCCAGCGCGTGCCCGCGAGGAGCCCTGGGGAAGGCGGGGCCCCGCCACCTGTGAAGGCGTGTGGCTTCTCCATCTTCTGCCAGCGGCCGCTGGGGTGGTGCCTCCCGCGCACCTCGGCCTCCTCCACGGTGATGATCTCCGACACGGGCACGCAGCAGGCATCTGTGAAGACAGCACAGCCTCAGGGACGGCCGTCAGAACCCTCACGGAGAAACATGCCCACCAGGACCAGGGCCCACCCTGCCCAACGTCCCCACGGACACCGAAAACCACGCAAGGGGGCCCTTGGCCGGCGTTTTCCCCAACAGAGGCAGGTGCGACGTCCCCTCCCCCAGGCAGGCCGGCTACAGGTGCTACACCTGGGGAGACGTGTCCCTGACAGGACAGCAAGGGGGGCGCGCATCAGAGTCAGGGCCCAACCACAGCGGGGATGAGGGATGGTTTCTAGAAAGATCTAACACAAGAGGAGCACAGGGGACAACAGCGCCCAACATTGTCTAAGGCAGGAACCCAGGAGGAGGCAGGTTCGGCCCCGGTCGCCCTGGCAGCCGTGGGAATGACAGGATGCGCCCGGAGCCCGAGAGGACCCCTGGGAACGGCCGAGCTCCAAAAGCTGCCGGCAGGGCCTTTTGTGTCTGCGTTTGGGAACACTAACTTGCCGTTAGCTTCCCGGAGTGACGGCCGAACGTCACTAAGGCTCTTTCTGCAACGGTACATGGAAACAAGCACCGCCCCGCCATGTGCCTGTGGTCACTGTGCACCGTCTTTAAAGTCGCTGCCCACAGGCCCAGTCACGGAGCCTGGGGAGACCGCGCCTGCACTGGGCTTCCGATGCCTGCAGGGAGGTCAGGGTCCTCTGTGGAGGGGCAGGAAGTACAGCTGCCCAGGGCAGGTGGTCCACAAAGCTGTCTGTACAGAGCCCGCTCGTGCACACAGGTGTCGGACGGACGGCAGAGGGGCCTCCCTCCTGGGCTCCCTGTCTTGTCACTGTTTTTCCAAAATGCAGTTTCCACCCAGTTCCTATTCCCTGCCCCGCCCCACCCCGAGAAGCCCAGACCCACAGTTCCAGGCTGCAGCCCTGCCCACATCCTCCCTGCCTGCAGGTGGGCACTGACCCTGGGCATCCTGACACCTGCCCACCTCCGCCACCAGCTGCTGGGCATAGCTCTTTCTCGGCACCACCATCACTGCCTGAGATGCTGGCCTCGCCTTCCCCATCCCCAGCACTGGAAACCCTGTGACTACGCCCGTTGGGGGATGCCCAGGACAGACGCCGTCCTCGCCGACTCAGCTGGGAACTCAACAGGGCTGACAAGCAGTCAGACGTACACGGCAGGCAGGGGCGGAACCCGGGTCTCACTGTCGCCCCAAGCTGACGGGGACTTCAGAAAGGGAACTGAGCTGCTCTACTTCCCATCAGCTCCCTGCTCGTGCGCCTGGGAAAGCAGTGCCCCTGCACCCGCATGGAGACCAGGATGCAGCTCCTGGCTTCCGGCTTCTGCCTGGCCAGCCCCAGCTGTTGTGGCCATCTGGGAGTGACCCAGCAGAGGGAAGAGCTCACTCGCTCTCTTTCTACTCCCTCCCTCCCCCGTAACTCTGTCTTTCAAAAAAGAGAGAGAAAAGAAAGCTAAACCAAGGGTTCAAGCACGTGACAGGTGTTCCCTAAGCAGCACTTCCTGTCCCATCATAAAGACTCTGCCTCCCCCGCCACCCCAGCCCCTCATTACCCCAAGGAGAACCCTTCACTGTGAAGGCGCTCACTCCCACAACTCGAGCCACAACTGCGCACCAGGCACGAAGCCCCCTTCAGTCCCAAACCCTCAGTCCTCAGTGGGAGACCAAGAACCAGACCAGGAATCCAGGAAAACAGAATTTACGGTGGGGAGTACAGGGGCCACTGACTGGCAGCTCGCAAAGAGCCCAGGTTGTCTCTATGAGGTCATGGGCACCGTGGGGAGGGGGCGCCGAGGCCCAAGAACCCTGCCCTCCACCAGTCAGCTGGACACACACAGGCAGAGGCCCGGGCAGGAAACAGGAAGAACACCCTGCAGGGCTGAGGGCGAAGGCGGGAGCCTGGGGCACTGACGTCTCTCTGAGCTCTGCATCCTGTGCCACGTGGCCCCAAGCACCAGAGCTGCAAGTGCAGGGAAAAGGTGAGCTGCCCTAGCAGCAGGCTGCCTCCACACCCCTGGGACGGGACCCAGGGAGCACCTGCTGGGTGGGGGGAGATCCAGGAAAGTCCCAAGGCAGGGCCAGCTTTAAACAGTCTGTGCTTCCTGGCTCTACTCTGGCACTCCCCGAGCACGCCCCCAGAGAGCAGCGCGTGGCCGGCTCAGACCCCGGCGTGTCTGGTGGTGTCTGTCCACAGAGGGCAGCGTCGTGGCTGGCTCTGACCCCAGCATGGCTGGTGGTGTCTGTCCACAGAGGGCAGTGTCATGGCCAGCTCTGACCCAGCGTGGCTGGTGGCATCAGTCCACAGAGGGCAGCATCGTGGCCGGCTCTGACCCAGCATGGCTGGTGGCATCTGTCCACAGAGGGCAGTGTCATGGCCGGCTCTGACCCAGCGTGGCTGGTGGTGTCTGTCCAGAGGGCAGCATTGTGGCTGGCTCTGACCCCAGCATGGCTGGTGGCATCTGTCCACAGAGGGCAGTGTCATGGCCAGCTCTGACCCAGCGTGGCTGGTGGTGTCTGTCCAGAGGGCAGCGTCGTGGCCAGCTCTGACCCCAGCGTGGCTGGTGGTGTCTGTCCACAGAGGGTGCAGGGGCTGAAGCTCTGGGGGTGCCCTTCTTCTATCAATAAACCTGCCGAGCTTATCTAAGCCAACCTTGGCGACAGATGCTCTTCTTCTCTTGGTGGGGTGGGGTCCCCACACCCCAGGACACTGCCTAGACCAGGATTCTCACCCCAGCACCACAGACCGCTGACGCCCCAGCTCACCCTGGACCCTGGGAGGCTGAGCAGCAGCCCTGGCCCCTACCGCCCAGCACCGGCAGCTCCCCGACATGGCCAGGGTCGGCAGTCTCCTGGGGGCAGCTTCATGCCCCCCTTGTCAAGAGCAATCATATTAGGAGTGACCATGTGTACTTAGCAACCCCTTATTTAAGTAGAAACACAAACGCAAACGCAAGGCCAGTCCCAGGACACTCGCGGTGGCACGGGGAAGGGCGGGCCTCTCCGGGTGTGGCGTGTCCCTGAGCAGGCCTGGGAGCCCCAACACAGCCCACAAGCTCCTCACACCACACTTCTCTGTGTAAACACCCCCCTGGGGCCCCAGCAGGAACTGCTCCTCCTGCACCCCCGCGCCCGGCGCCGGCAGTCACCTCGTGAGAAGGGAACTGGGTTCCTCCCTCTACAGGCCCCACCTAATGCCATCTGAGTTTCAGGGGGAACCAGCCCCACACTGGGCCCCCGCCCTCCTGGGCATCTCCCCCAGCGCTCCCCTGGCGCCCACTCCCAGGATGCCCCCTCGCAAGCCCAGTGCATGCACAGAACCCAAACGAGGGTGACAAATGTCACCCCTGTCTGGGTCTGTCAGTGAGTGGCATCTCCCACTGAAGTCTGCCTGTCCCCTCACCCCACCCAGGGCACCAGTGTCCCACTCACCATGCAAGTCACATAGCCCCCCCCACCCAGGGTCTGTTCCAATCCCCAGCCTTCATCTTGAAGCCCCAAGACCCCCAAACACGGTCCCAGCTCTGAGAGCCCTGCAGCCCCGGCCCCCACCCCGCCCGGCTCCAGGACCACTTCTCTCTGACCTCAGAGGGGCCCCGCCCACTCTGCTCAGAGCTGTGAACGTGACCCTGGCCATGTCCTCACACCAGGGCCCGGCCAGCCCCGAGTCCAGCCCTGGTCTCCTTATTGCCGGCCACGTGGCTCGCACATGGCCTCACCGGCTTTGCCAGAGGCCACATGCGAGGGTCAGCTTTGTGCTACGTCCGCCTGACACCCGTGAGGGAGGAGCAAGGGCTCCTGGTACCCGCGAGGAAGAGACTCAGCAGGAAAACAATGTGTCCAAGACACAGTCGGAGAAGAGCAGCACGGGGCCGGCTCCCGGGAACCCCCTGCAACGAGAGCCTGCCTAACTCAGGTGCCCCCACCTGCCGACCCTCACCTGCACACACCTGGTCAGGTCTCCCACAAACCCACACACAGGACAGGGCCGGGGTCGAGGCGGTGGAGCGCTGCCAGCCTGGCCTCCCACAGCCACCAGGAGGCCCCAGGCAGGGATGTGGGACTAAGCCAGCTCAGTCACGGCTGCGACCGTTCCCCATGATACTTCTCACCCACAAGCGTCCCGGGGGAGTGGGTGAGGGGGCTGGGGGAGAGAGGTGGTCATGGCCCACCCCACGGGTGCTGGTAGGTGACGACAAGGCTGCTGTGACCCCAAATGCCCAACCTCCACGAGCACCGACCAGTGAAGACCCCTGGAGATCCGAGACGGGGCAGGCATCGGGTGCACTGGCCTAAGCCGCCCCCTGCAGTGCCAGCACCCTCGAGCTCAGAGCAGAGTCCCGGCTGCGGCACTTCCGATCCAGCTCCCTGCTAACGGCCTGGGAAAGCAGCAGAGGGCGGTCACGTGCTTGGGTCCCTGCATCCACATGGGAGACTTGCATGGGGCTGCAGGCTCCTGGCTTCAGCCTGGCCCAGCTCCAGCCATTTGGGGAGTGAACTAGCAGATGGAAAATCTCTCCCTAATAGCCTTTCAAATAAAGAAATCTTGAGAGAGAGAGAGAGAGAGAGAGAGAGAGAGAGAGAGAGAGATATCTGCATCTGCAGCAAATCCAGCTCCCCCGTGGCTGCACACAACACAAGCACACAGCCTGGGAACACGCTGCTCCATAAACAGCGGCTGTACAAACACCTGCTGTTGGTGAGAATTGAAAGGTAAGCACTTGCCTAGAAAAGAAAGACCAAAACCCATATTTGTGCCCACACCTGGCATGAAGAACTCAGAAATACCAAGCCAAAAACCATCGGCCTGGGGGCGGGCAGACTATGCGTGCCACACACCCGGCACAGCACTCATCTGTCGCACAACAGACACAAGAGGATGTGGGAAAGGGACGCCCCGTGGCGCCAGCGGCTCAGCACTGAGGGGCGGCTGCCCCAGGCGCGGAGCCGACTCGACCCAACCTCAGCAGCAGCAGCAGCTTTTTGGGGTG